AACCCCTTCAGAAGGGAGAGTAGACTGTATTGTCATTGAATATAAACTTATTTCCGGGATTTTCATTCCCTCCCTCTCTCTCTCTCTACTATATCTGATAAACTCTTGCCCACTGGCCAGCCATCCGCCCAAATGCCAACCTGTGTCTGACGACTGACTGCATAACCGCGGCGTCGGATCTGCTGAAGAGTATGGACCGGACAGTCGACCCGTGCGATGACTTCTTTGACTACGCCTGCGGCGGATGGACTCAATTCAATACCATCGATGAGGACGAGTCCCGGACCGACACTTTCACTGTTATGCGCAATGATTTAACCGATAAGATCAGAAGTAAGCACTTGTTTACCATGTATTAGTTATTGTGTCAAATATATTGTCAATTTGTTAGTAGTTTTTATATGGAATGCTTAATTGATTAAAACAACCATAACTTTAATTGATTGTTTTAAAAAGGTACTTTTAATGTAAAAAATTCCATAAGATTATATAAATAGCGTTAGATTTTTTAATTAATTTGGACACAAGTTTATAAACAATCTAGTTTAATTGTTGTAATTTTTACTTCACAATGACAAAACAAGTGATTAAATAAAACCATAGTTTATTACATTGATTTCACTTATTGATAATTATAAATTACATTACTTTTATTTTACAGTTATTTTATCAATAGTACAAAAAACTATAATTATATTTAATTTAAGTTTAAAAATCCAATTAAATACCACTTTTGACAATGAATTTCTATTGATTACAAAAAATATTAAGTGAAAATAATTAAATCATTTTATTGGTGTAACATTAATTTTAAAAAAATGTTTATCTGTCGTTCAAATAATTATTAACAATTGATTTTAATTTATATTTTTTCTCATCATTTCTCTGTATGTATTGTTTGTTTGGATTGAAAAGTAATACTCGAGACACCCGTCGCCGACAACGAGACCAATACCACCAAAAAAGCTAAGATTGTAAGCGAAACACATATTTTCAAACAATATAACCATTTTATTTCAATTATATATCATTTAAAATAACACTCTTTTAACACTTTCAATTAACAATTGAAAACTCATATAATCTGGTATTTTATATTGAATTTTAATCGAGTTTAAAAAGTTAGTACAACAACAATATAACACAGCATAACAAAACTATTACATAAACTTATGATCTCAATTATGGTCTCAATAAATGTACTAAACATTAACAACCCCTTCAGAAGGGAGAGTAGACTGTATTGTCATTGAATATAAACTTATTTCCGGGATTTTCATGCCCTCCCTCTCCCTCTCGCCCCTAAAAAACTGTGTTTTATTGTAATTATTGTATAAATTAAACGCTATTAAAACATTATTTGCAAACTAATATGTTAGCATTCAAACTAAAACCAATTGATTGTAACAGTTATACAAGTCGTGTATCGACGAGGATCTCATTGAACAGAGAGGTGGCCGGCCTTTACAAAGTCTGCTCGATGACCTAGGTGGTTGGCCTCTTTTAAAGCACCAGCACAACCAACACCAACAACAACATCAGTCTGGGTCGCAAATCAAGCATAATCTCTCATCAACAAATGATTGGGTAAATTATTTAATTATTTATTCAATTAAATAGAGAAAAAGTAAATTCCCTCTCTCTCTCTCTCTCTCT